AGAGGAAGGTTTTACAAAGACCTCCCAACATTTGGAGCGGTTGTGAGGCAGGAAATTCAGGGGCTGAAGAAAAGAGTTCAATGGGAAATGGGTGGTAAGCAGTAAGCAGAGGAGCACATACGAAGAAATACACGCATGAAAAATCGGCCTCAATCCTTGATTGGGTTCAAACCTAAGAATACAACTATTTCAACTCTGGGGTGTTGCATGGTATCATACACAATTGAAGGCGTTTTTGATGACACGCCGTATTCAGTGGATCAGTTTACTTTAGTTTTAGGAAACTGTGGATACCTGACCTGATCTTAATCACAGTTGAAGAATTTTACTCCGCTTCCTAGTGTTGAATGGAGACGTAGCAATTTCATGAAATAATTTACTTAAAGTTGAATTTGACGGCCGCCTATTTACCATCCAGCGAGGCAGGGAAGGGAAATCCAGAAATCGAAGAATGAAACACGGACCATAAAGTCCGATTTTTTTGCCTAAATCAACTCATGATGTACCTAATTTCCAACACTTTTCATAGAATGACTTTTTTCAATAAATTACACTATTTCCAAGAAAATCGATGATAAAAGTCGTCCGAATACCGACCTCCATCATTAAAAAAGTCCAAGATGCTCGAAATGCGAACACCTTCGTTTTTTTCTCAATGAAGAATTTGCACTGGTCGCAGGGGGATAGTGGATTTCAAAACTTTCAGAGAGAATGATTCTATGCTACGGGAAAACGCCGTAAAAGCATTCAGACGTTGCCACATTTCATTTGATCAAGTACGAATTTTCAAGGAAACTTGGGGATATTTTTCTTTCAATTATTCTACAGATTTAATTTGCAGTTAAATCTAGAGAATCTGAAAATTTCAAAGAAAAATATTCACGAGTGTCCTCGAAAATAAATACTCTATCTAGGAAAATTTGGCAGCATCCAGATACTCAAACGGCGTTCTTCCTTGGCACGGCAAAGTAGAGGAAGCGGTACTGATGAAGAATTAAGACCGATGAAAAAATATTCACGGATTTCCTCAAAAATAAAGATTCTATGAGGAGAAACTTGGCAACATGACACGGCAGATAGAAGGAGTGGTGACATACGAAGAAAGACCAAGAGAGTTGTGAACAACTCGTTGGCACTATGCCTGAAACACTTGTGTGGATGAAGAGGGGAGGAAGTGTGAATTTGATTGACACGGACGTAATGCTGCAGACTGTCGGCAAAGGACAAAGACAAGTCACCGAAAGAACTAGCAAAAATGTAGAAATCGGGCGGATGAAATCTGCTGAAATCATTCGAAGCGAGCCGATAATTCCGAGAAGAAGGGGGCTTATCTACCTCCTAGACTGGACAGCCAGACACAGACATCCGGTGGGTCGCTAGTTACGTGAGGAAAACGAAAAGGCTAGGCTTTCGCCGCCCCGTAGTCGCCACTTGCCTCCGATCGCCACCCACCTAGTTCCCCTCACTCTACTTCATCATGTACACATAGTCAAAACACTCGATAAAGATCGATCCTGAATTCCGGATAATCGCTATTTCGTTCAAATTACGCGGGAAGTTCCTTTGTCTTTCACCACTTCATGAGCTCTCCCCCCCCCCTCCCTCCCTCTCTCTCTCTCTCTGCTCTGATTAATTTGGTATGTTCAGGGATTTGGACAAGGTTTCAGGACATTTCTACGGCTTTTCGATTGTTACAGTCGAAAAATAGATGTTTAAAAATCTACGATTATATGGGTACCTAATTTTTACTTGGAGAAATCAGGCAATAATACCCAAGTGCTATTTAATACTCTTGAATTTTTTGGTGAGATTTGCAAGAGACTTGGGAAAATGCAGGTGCACTAAAATATTGCCCCGGTTAAGTACCATTTAAATACGAATCCAAGTGTCAGTGGCGACTACTTAAGAGGCTGCCTAGAAAGAAAAATGGCCTAGTTGATTTAGGCAACTGCGTAGGGCACCTGAAATATCTGAATTTCCGATTGGAAACTAGAGAAGGAAAGGGAGAAGAGAAAAAACAGACAAAAAGAAAAAGAGATACAACATGAGACACAGTATTTAAATCGGCATGAAATCTTAGCAACTATCTGGCCTGCGACTTTCTTTCTTAGGGGCCAACATGAAAAATTGCCCTTTCGAAATGCCTCGAGTCAGGAATAGGTACTCCATTGAATAACCCCAAAAGCACAAAAAACCCCAAAAACTGAGTTTAACAACGATTTTCTTAGCGGCCAATGGCGCTTTCTTACCGGCAAATTGCTTTTAGGCCAGCGTGTGTTTCAATCATTGATGAGACACAACTTCTGTCAAACAGGCACATCGAAACATGATGAAATAAAGTGAATTAAGTACTCAAAGGATGGGCAGAATTTAAATTAGAAGTAAACGATTAAAGTATCTCAAACCTTGATCCAGAACCACCAAACCAAATTGAGACGAAGGTGAAAGGCCAAGTTTTCAAACGTAGATTGAGCACCAGAACTAACAAAGTATCCGACACCATTCGAGCGAGTCCCGATATAGTTTCCACACGAATCGTTCACGCACTGACGAGGTTGGATGATACACACTAAAAGTTCACGACGAGAGAGTAGGCGAAACTCTCAAAGGGACACGAAGCAACTTGGAACGGAGGAAATACCAAAAACGAAACCGACCGGCTCACTACGATTCGCGAAACACGACACAGGCAGTGAACGGCGGTAAACACACTCCGAAAATCCGTACGCGAGACTTGCAGTCGACAGATGTGCTAAACTAAACTCTAGAAATGATTTAATGGATGAAAAGTACACGTTTTCCGAACGGCGGCGATGTAACATCAAAAGACGAACGCACACAGCGCGTGCAAAGTAGTGCAAACCGGCAAAGGAACTCGGACCTCGAAGAACTGCAGATGCGTGAGCGTCCTGCGGCGCTGTGCTTCTGCGCAGCGAAGTGAAGGGGGTGGGGGAGAGCGCAGACTCTGGCGAGAAGCGAGCGGCAGCAGCAGGAGGGGGGAGGGGAGGAATTTTCCGTTCCACTAGTTACAGACTTCTTCACGGCGATCGGATCTACGAAATTCGAATCCCTTTATCCCTTCCTTTCTAAACAAATCAAAAAGTTTGACGGCCGACTATGTAATGAATACATTTAATGGCGAAAATGTCAGACCCACGTGAATTTGATGCACTGATTGTCAGAATTTGATGAAAGACTTTCTCCAGAAAGTTATCATTGAAATAAGTTGCTTCCATTTTGTCCCACGAGAAAACGAAAATCACAGACACTAACGGGACATTAATTCACAAGACATGGACATAGATGGCTGTAAGTGCATAATGGAAAAATGCGTGACTCCATTATTGCCGCTTTTCAAACAAACCTTTTATTATACTTTTATGGGTAAATATAATGCACAAAAAATTTATGGAAAAACTGCGTTGACTGATTTTCTCTGAGAAAAATTAAATGTCAACAAAGCATTGCAACTATAGGTAGCCTGTAGCCAGCATCGGAATATTGTGCTAATCCACAAATCGATGGAAAAAAATGCGAAACCACGCATCTACGTTTGCAACGTTATGAACTTCCTGTCATACTTAAAGTACCTGATGCCCTTTTAAGAAAACTTGTGGATGTAATTTCTTGAGAATTAGGTACCTTGATTTTTCTTCTCCGTAGGCAGGACACCCTGTCTGAATTTTAGACTACAAAAGTTAACTTTTTCCCTTGGCTGACAATAATAATACAACAGCAGAAATTTTGAAACATCGCGATGGAGATATGTGACTCTTGCACTTCGGCCATCATACTCCGCCCATGATGGTGCTGCTCATATTCTACTTTGAGGCCCGTTTAAATATTACATAAGGCATTTAACCAACTTCAGGACACCCCCCTCCCTTTCGAAGTATGTGAGACTATAGCGAGACTTCCCACCCTCCGATTGGATTTTGCGAGAAGGAACCAAGAGCATTCCAATATCACTAAGATTGTGCAACTTTTTTCTCCTTGCGAACATAAACTAGTCATCTGAACAAGTTATACCTTTACTCCCAATAAAGTATATATTCAAGACTAAAATTACCTTTGTAAATTCAATTTCTTGCATGGTTTCAGTAATTTTTTGGCGAAGAATGTAAGCTGCACAATCCTAGCGACATTAGAATTCTCTTTGTAAAATATGTAATAGAGAAAATCTGGCGCTTAGCTGAAAAATATTAATTACATATGAATTCCTTGGAGTTATTTTTTCTCTTTTGAAGTGGAAGGCTGACGTAAAACTAGGTTTGCAATCCCCCCCCCCCTTTGTTAAGCAAGCTCAGACCCCCACCCGACTCAACAGCCAACTTAATATTTGAACAGCCCTTTGAGAAAAACAAAATGGGCGATTAATTTTGCATGCTCTATGAAAGTCCTGGTGGAGGAGACTTTCACTCATTAAATGAGGTTCTCAATGCCAGCAAGAAGTCTGTAAGATATTTTGAATCTCATTCACTTCGGGGAACCACGAGTCTCAAATTCATGATCTCAAAATTTTCCTTTTGTTAGATTTTTTCGAATAAAGTTGTAAACTTTTGTTGCTTGAAACCATCATAGTGTTCACTAAACTGAGAAGAAGCTCCAAAAAATTGCCAAGAGATTGCTTTGACTGGTTTCTCAGTTGAATGATAAAGAATGATAGAGGTCCGCAACTTTGGGAACCGGAATGAGAGGTTTCCAAGTTAAGGTATCAATTTGTTGGGACATCAAGAGACCGATGAACTTAGTACATACCCACTTAAGAACCAGAGTACCTATTGAAAATTGAGTGGAGGTAGATTGTAACGGGACATGGCAGAATCATATTTCAGTGAATGTAGTTTTGGGTTTACCACTTTGACATATTTAATTGCTTTGGCACTATATTAGTTAGGTATTTGAATTCTTCAAGGAATAATCTCTCATCGCATCCCATGTGAATAATAACTTTTGGAAAATGTTAAAGAGGAACTAATCATTAAAAAAAAAACATAAAAATTTACAGATTGCTTCTTTAATAATAAAGGTAGCGAGGACATGCACAGCTCCATGTTTGACAGAGTCTCCATTTACTCTCGGAGAACATTTTATCCACTTGAATTATTTTTACACATGCACACACATTGGTGAACATCCTTCAACATCGGTTACTTAAAACTTCAAGTCAAATTTTAAAGGCATTACAACGGCCAAAAACGTAACTTTCGTAATTACAATACACACTGCTTTTTAACTTAATTATCTACATTCTTGGTAATTTGTTTTTTCTCACTTAGGTAATAAAGGCACCGCTTTTCTCATTTTGAATAAAAATAAAGTTTACCACATCTTACATAAAAATGAACCAAATGTTCTGATTCATGACTTCAGAAGAAAATTACTTATTAAATTTCTATCAGTGATATAAAATATCTTCAAAGATCAATATATTAAAAATTTGCTGGAATAAAAACCAGTTATTAATTATTGAGAGAATATAAATGTGTTTCAGTAAATGGTCGATGCAGAAATTTAGACCATTCCAGGCATTCAAGCTTCTTACAGCAGAAAGAAGCAGTATGGTTTTGTTTGGTACATGACATTAATTCATATTGCTATACAATTTTGGGGGCCAAAAAGAAAAAAAAATTATGACCAAAATGTAAAAAACTTGACCCAATAGAACTTTAAAACCAATGAAAGACATAATACAGGACAGGAGAAAGTTAAATACTAAGAAGGAGAGAGTGCTACCTAATAAAATAATTGAGTACATGAGAGTGCTTTACCCAAAAGACAGTTTCCAAAATAAATTTCCTGAGCAATAATGACAGTATCATCGAGTAAAATTTTCTGAATCAGATAAAAAATATAATTATGTACACTTTGCGCATTTCATTACATCATTAAAATCTGATAAAATACATACGGTTTCAAAAGTCTTAAAATATAACCAGCGCAAACCAACAGGCGGGCAATTTTGGCTGATGGAAAATAAAAATAGGGTCACTGGGAGCGTGTTTCCTACAGACGTAAAGTTGAAAGTAATACTATAATAATCGAAACGTTTTGAAATCAAAGCTTAATCGAATATCAGATTTAGCCACGACACATCACGAGTTTAATCTGCAGACAAAGTTTCTAGACTGAGATCTGAAAGATGGGGATATAAACGTGCAGACATTTTTTAATAAATACAATAAAAAAAGGAAACACCATGCAACTAATCTTCTTACCTGCTAAATCACAGGCAACTGAGGAAAATTCAACGATAAAAAAACTTTAAACCTAAATATAGCTGTTTGTGAGGACTGAATACTAATTAGAGATAACATAGGCTCTTATTAGACGATCAAATCAGGTCATCAAATTGACAAGATCAAAAATTATTGGGGAGATACAACTTTTTTACACAAAGCACTCCACTCCTGTCACTCATCTACAGCCAATCACACACTCTATTCTATCATATTCGAGCTACCTGCTGGAATTAGATTAGTTCTGATTGGGGTGCAAAAGAAAAGTTGTCAGAGTTGGCAGTTGCCAGCCCTGCTAAATCCTGTTACATTTGATAGCTTGATTTGATCATCTCGCAGGAGGTTTTGTCATCATGGTTCAATAAGGTGGTGCTGCTGGGAAAATCTTTGAAATCTTACAGTTTCCATTCTATGATTATTTACATGTACCTAAACTGAATTTAAAAGTAAGATAAGGAATTAAAATCATAAATAATTGTTAAAATCTTAAAACAATGGTTAAAATTTAAGAAAATCGCTGAATAATTTAAGCGTTGATAAGAAGTGTAAATTGGTCCTCAATATTACAGAAGAGGGTGAGTGATTTAGGATCCGCACATTAAACAATCGTCCTTATTTTGCAGTGAACAGACCATTGCACTCATGTTATAAGCACGTTGTTCTTCCTCTGCTGTTCCGTTCTCATGAGTTCCATTTTCCACACCATTCTGGACTCCGTTTTGAACACCGTTCTGTTCTGTTTTGACTGTTTTTCGTAGTTTAGTTTTGTCGACAGTGAACTGGATTGCTTGTGCGGCTGGCTTTGTCCGCAAATAGTACATTCCTGTTTTCAAACCCTGAAAAATGCCCAATAATTTCATAGAATTAAAATAATGCAAGGAGGCTACATCTAAGAGCAAAAAATTTAAAATTCATAAATTGCGATATTAAAAGATTGAGATTATCATGAGAAAAAGTCCATCATATGTTAAATGTAATAAATTGACAAATCGCTGACATTGGAATTGTAATTAGGTAATTTAAGGTGAGGGATTCAGTTTAGATCCCAGTATATGCAAGAATCTTGGCTTATCTGTAGGAAATGGGTTGTAAAAAAAAAAAAAAAGCCATAGGATATTTGTTTTCATTTAAAATAACTCATGAATAAAAATAAAATTGATAAAGCATCTATTTATAAATACAATGGATTAAGGACTAGGTGGATCTTTATTTCAAACTCTTTTTGTTGAAAAATTAACTTGATGCAGTGAAAATAGTTGGTACATAATGGTTAACTTACCAAATTCCATGCATGGAAGTGCATTGACGATAATTTGGCGTAGTTTGGTTCTGCAATATGGACATTCAAAGATTGAGATTGATCTATGAAAGCACCTCTATCAGCAGCCATCTTCAAAATAGTTTTTTGGGAAATTTCCCATACAGTTTTGTACAAAGCCTTTAAATCATCTGGAATTTCTTTGATATTCTGGAAAGAAGAACAAAAAAAGGCTGTTCAGTGGCAATGCGCTAAAAGAGTTCAGTATTGCTTAAATTCTTTGCAGGACAGTCGGTTAGTCTCCCGTGCTGGCTAGTAAGCTTGGCAAATGTGAAAAAAATTTACTTAGCGATAATTGTGGAAAGGATTAAGAGGGCAGATCGCAGAAAAAAAATATGAGACAAATATGAGATAGAATCACAGTAGAGTAGAATCAAATAAGTTTTGCTCTACCATGTCTCCCGACTTTTTAGCCCTTCAAAATGGAAAAATCTGACATTTTTTTTTTTTAAAATTTGTTCAAAATTTTACGCTTAATCAGGTCCCAACATCGCTTTAGGCAGTTTTTGCCATTTAATATCAGAATTTTGGCCCTAAACAGCTGAAATGTCCTGTACCGTAGCCTGTCTGCGACTCAAGTGCGCAACTTTAACGCTTCATAACCATCATCTTGCATCTAAATACTTCCACTTCTGCTGTAAATTCACACTCAACTTGTACCTAACTTATTATTTTCAGTTATATTCATCCAAATAAGTGAAAATATTGACCGTCTTTGCGTCAAGCAGACTTGTCTGCGGAATTCGCGTCCTGTACCGTAGCCCCCTTTTTTCAGCATCATTTCGTCCGTTAGAGTGCAGCACTTATGAACTTTGTTTACTTTTTTTGCGTTATCGTGACTATCACACGCTGATGTCGAGCAGAGGAAAAAAAACCGCAATGAAACAGTAAATTTTGACCGTTTTTTATGAGTTTCTAGGTTTAACGACCATCTAGGATGTCCTTACCGTATACCTACCTTTTTAATGCATAAATCACTTCAAATTCTCGAATTTTGGTATTTTTTGATACGCTCTGATGTCTTAACCTCAAATCCAGAATTTCAACCACATGCGCGAATATGCCCGAGCACCGTTGCCAATAATCACACGATTTGTCCGCACCGTAGCCGTCCGTACCGTAGCCCGTAGCCGTCCGGTACCGTGGCCCGTAGCTGACGCGCGATGCGGCCGGGTCTACGGTAAGTACGGACAAAATGCGAAAGTCATCCAAAAATCGGTGCGCTGTTTGATAGATCACCCCACTTTACTTTATTTTATCTATCACCAAAATTTGGAATTTGAAAAAAAAAGAGAGACGTATTTTTTTTTAGTACGACGCGACTTAGAAGAAGGAGGCTTTTTTTTCGATGATTGCATAAGGATCGCCATCTTTTTATTTTTTTCATTTTTTCTTTTAGAACTTTGAGTCCTCTTTTTCGTCTGAAGTTCATAGCAATTTATTCGTTTAATATTTATTCGTTATATCTAACTTAATTTTTTCTTATCGTCCTTTAAATATTTATTTAAGGAGATTTGTGACCACATTTTCGATAAATTTACCTTTTTGTTTTCTTTCTTATTTTGTAAAAGTGCACCTAAAACGTTCTAACGTTGTCAAGCTTGTTTTAAGAACTCAGCTTCTAAGATTTGTCCCTAATTATTTAATGCGTTTACTTTAAAATAAAAGCAGTTCATTATTTTTGAAAAACTGACTTACTTACTCTTTTTACCTTTATTGCCTGTAATTATTTATAAAAGTGGCACTTATAAGCTATGCTATAACTTAGCAGTTTATTCCCCAATGAATTTCAGTTCTTTATAATTCGGCCCTTGCATACAGTAATATTTACGAATGCCTCTTCGTCCTTACCGTAGCCCGTTTGTCCGTACTGTAACGTTATTGTCCTGTACCGTAGACCAGTAAAAAATTGTACAATGGGCCTGTTGCATGCAAGAGATACAGCCGCGCGAATAGACTTTTTAGAGGTTAAATGACACGAAAATTACGATGGTCACATTAGAAAAGTCTGAAATACACTCCTTGCTACGCAATTTGCGTTGTTAGAAACACGCTTTTTCAAATTTCCCGCGTCTGGGGGCAGTTTTCTAATCACCGGAAACGAGCAAACGGCGGGCTCGGTGATTTCCGGAAGATGCTGAGTCGTTGTTGTTGTTGTTCTTCTTTTTTCCTTCAGTTTGTTTACAAACCCAACGTGATCTCTCGTAGTGGTCCACATACGTTTTACGCAGTAACTAAATTAATCAACTTTTAAATATCCAACGCAATCCTTCTACATTTCATTTCACGATATCACGATCTCTGATTTTCAGGTTATGTTGTCAGTTTTAGTTGACCGGAAATAGCCGCGAGTTGCCGTTACTTGTTTCCGTTGGAAAACTGCCCCTAGACGCGGGAAATTTGAAAAGGCGCGTTCTTAACAACTCAAATGGCGCAGTAAGGAGTGTATTTCAGACTTTTTTAATGTGACCATCGTAATTTTCGTGTCATTTAACCTTTAAAAAGCCTATTCGTACGGCTGTATCTCTTGCATGCAACAGGCCCATTTGTAGCTTTAAAAAGAGCAAACCTGTAGAAATTCTTTAAAAAAGTTGTCTACCACATCTTCTAAGTTAGTTCCAAAGAAATTAATTAAAATTAAGCGTTTAATTACATTTCCTGGCTTTTTTAGGAGAAAAATGATGGCGCAAAATTCTAGAATTCGGTCTTTAGAGCAATTTGGGGGCTAAATTTTGAAAGTAAAAACTTTGAAGGATATTTTGTTTTATTCTTCTACAAGAATATAGCTCTATGAGTGCAAAAAAAACTTAAAACGGTATTATTATCGCACGTATTGATAGGAAAACAAGCCTGTTTAGTTGGTCTACGGTACGGACAAAAAATTTAACTTCCAGTGATAAAAGAGGCCAAAAAAGAATTTCTGTTGAAAACGAAGATTGACCACTATTAAAATCGACTTTCCAAGAGTATGAGGACTTCAGAAAACATGCTGAAGTTTTAAAATAACTAAAGTCACTTTTTTAAAAAACGATGGCTCCAAGAGCAAAACTTATTTGATTCTACTCAGTAAACGTGAGCAAAGCTGAGAGGCAATTTTAAAAGATTATGACTAATTTTTTTTTTTCTACTCATCTTTTTTCAGAAAGTGAGGCAAATTGACAATTTTACCTTGAGGCAGAAGCCCCCAGAACAAGCAATCAGCATTTTGGAGGTTTCTGCATTTCTGCAGCAGTATATGAACAAAAAAAGACCCTTAGAATTTTTCTTAAAAAAATAGAATGCCCCTTATATTTCTGGGGAAAGTAAATACCTCAGACTACTTCTTCAATTTTTACAGTTAGGTATTCAAGCAAGTGCAAAATGATATGACAATGTCAAATGAAATAGAGAACACTGATTCAAAATCATGAAAGTTGTATTTAACTGGAAAATACCTGCACAGATCCATTGTTGACAATGAGCTCGTTTTTCATATCATCACTCCATAAGCCACGTTCTACAAGATCTCGCAATAAGTGATGATTAACAACCTGAAAAATGACAAATTTACGATGAAAATGTCTCATTCATTTTAGTTGTGTGTTATTTATTTTATTTTATTTTTTTTTAAATAATTGGACATACAAAGTCTCAGTTAAAGATAATTGTGTTCACAGGGTTATGGATAACATCTAATCTATTGAACGTGTGATTAGTTTGAAAAATAAGCCTTGATTTTTCTATTATTATTTCCGATTTTATCTCAAACCAGCAAATCAAATCAAAAGCAACATCAACCATGAAGTTGTCTTGGTCGTAAAAAAGTAACTCAGATGAGCAAGAAAGGAAACAGAAAAGTAAACTAAAGAGGTACCTGGAATTCTCCGGAGAGGACCCGCCTCGAGTAGATGTTACTTGTGTATGGTTCAAAAGATTCGTTGTTGCCTAAGATCTGAGCAGTTGAAGCTGTTGGCATGGGTGCTAGAAGGAGGGAGTTACGCACTCCATGTTTGGCAATTTTTTGTTTTAGCGCAGCCCAGTCCCACAAATCTGTTGGGGTAACATTCCACATATCGTACTGCAAAATCTAGAACATTTAAAGGTTAAAATCAGGATTACATATACCTTTGACATGAAATATTTCATAAGACTGATCGATCTGTAAGTGAATGCTTTGAGGGACACATAAAATATATTTAATATAAAACTGTAAAAAATGTAAGTTGGATGATACACGATGAAAAATTGTTGAAAAGGAGTAAAAAGTATCAAAAAAGAAAAAATTGAGAATTCTTTCTTGAGGAGTGCTTACTTTAATTTTACATGTCTTCACGATTGAAAATTTGATTAACTTAGACTGATTCACGAGTGACACTTTGACCATTGATAGTCTTTAAAAGTTATTTTCACGAAGTGGAAAAAGAAAATTGAAGTATTTAGTATAGACAAAAATTGCAAAAAAGATGAAACTACAAGGTGATTGATTACTTACCCCCTTGCTGACAGGAGATCCTTCATAGGTCGAGTATGGTCCATTCATTTCAGCTAATTCAACGCTAGCTTCCAAGGCACCATAGTAAATTGTTTCGAATAGTTGGATGTTCATCTTCTGCGACTCTTCACTGTCAAAAGGCAGACGCATGAGAAGGAAAAGATCGGCCAACCCTTGGATTCCAATGCCAATGGGACGGTGGCGCATGTTTGAATTGCGAGCCTAGCAAAACAAGAAATAATGAACCTTAAGAAACATGAACATACTTCGATTGCAGTGTTTCAAAATTTCTACTCTCATTACCTCTTTTTTAAAGAGGAGCGATTGGCAGTTTGGCATGAAAATTTACAGAGGGTATTCTTCTGTGATGATAAAGAAGATTTATGGATTTTATCCCAGCGATAGTCAAGTTAAAACATATAGCTATGCAATGGTACCACATGCCCCTTTGCTGTCAGTTACAAATAAAATAAAATGTAGCACAAAGTTTAAAGAACAGTGAGCTGAAACAGAAATTTTTCTAGTTTTACTGCTGATATGAGGTCTAGACTGGTTATGACAGAAATTTTGCTGTCACAAAGTCTTCCCTAACTTGACTACTTCACTTGGACATTTTGATGGTTAATGCGTTAGCTTACCTCAGGTACAGGATAGTAGTTGATATCGATGATCTTGTTTAGATTTTTGGTGACAGTTTTGGTCACCTCCTTCAATTTCTTGAAATCATAAGTCCTATCAGGATTGACAAACATATTTACAGCAATTGAGGCCAAATTACATACAGCGATCTGTAAGAGAAAGAAAATTTAGACATATTACTCAAACATTAATGAACAGTGGTATAAGACAGAATTCAGAGAATTCTAGTTAGTAAAGGTGTAGTGACAAAAAAAAGAAAAACGGATACCAGAATTCTCAGCGTTTTTAATGATCTCAAAACCATTTCAAAATTAGAGGATAAAGAGACAAATCTTGGCGGCAGACTTCGTCTTACCGATTGAATCTTCCTCGGAAGGAAATCTGGCAAAAAATTCCAGTTGACCTTGAATCTGGCGGTTCTTTGAAAAATTCTGGAGAATTTTCTTTAAGGGGTCATCACAAATTCCTTGACAATTCTTCATTTCCATCGTAATAAAATTTCTTAAAATGGAGAGTAACTTAATCATAGAAGGTTAGTCTCCAATTATGAAACTAAATTCTCTGACTGCGGAGTGAAATTATTCTAAAATTAAATTAAACCCATGGTCATCTGAGTAGGAGACATAGATTGAAGTAAGGACTTACTTCATCTTCAGCCGTGTATTCTATAATTTCAGTACACAAGTTGCTACACTTGATGGTTCCTAGATTTTGTTGATTTGACTTGCTGTTACAGGCATCCTTGTAGAGCATATATGGTACACCTGTTTCTACTTGCGAATCCAGAATGGCAAACCACAACTGCTGGGCTTTCACTTGTCGAAGGTAACGACCCTCTTTTTCATACCTGCGCAATGAGATAGATTCAATGATACATCAGATGATGAAGATCAAATAAAGAAGAGGTAGACAAAGTAGAAAATTAGGGATTAATCTAAATCAGATCTGGAATCAATTTAGTTCGAAGATGAGAGGAACTCTGTATTTATCAAGGTAATCTCTGCTCATATTTGATGTATCATGCTCATTGTGAACATTTTTGACAGCTTCCTTGACCACCTGCTTGGTATGATTATAAAATGGGAGAATTTGAGAAAATACTGGTAAGGACTTGGGGAAAAAATTGTGATGGACAATTTGGTTCTATAAGCACAAAGGCAATTAAAAAATCAATTACATAATGGACCACTAGACAAGGTACGAATTTCAGCATTCTGATACACGTTTCTTCAACAAAATTTCAAGTAAAACACGATGCACACAACAAAAATTACCGAAATCAACTCCTGCCGAAGATATTTAATGATTCTTGGTGCATTAATTGTAACTACCCGCCCATAAAAACTCAATGCTCTACGTGATTCACATCGCGTGCTAAACGTTATCATGAGAACGTCTCTGCGATAAAAAAATCTGGCAACCTCAATCTTGACACTTTGGCTCAGCTATAGCAAATTACTTATAGTTTGAAAAACACATGGTGGGAAATGAACATTGCTCGATTGAAAAGCTTGCTGAAACCGTTGTAGTGCGCAATTTGACTCACGTAGAGCTTTGAGTTTCTCGTGAGGGGGCAGTTCAAATTCCTCGTAACCAATGTGAAATAAAAATGTTAATATCTCCGTTAGGAGTTGGTTTCAGTAATTTTCCTTGTTCGGATTGTGTTTTACGTGAAATTCTGGTTAAAAAACATGTATCAGAATGCTTAAATTCGTACCTTGTCTAGTGGTCCATTATGCAATATTTTAACAGAAAGTTGTATCATGGATTTAATTATATGGCACTCTCCATGACTAAAGACAACATGGGTAGGTAAATTAATTCGATTTTTATTTCAGAAAACCATTGAAATTTTAGCTGATGAGATGAGAAACTGCTTCTGGTCTCACTCTCAAAATTTCATTGCCACAAAAAAGAGAAAGTCTTTAAAAGGAGAACAAGGGTTGTTCAACTGCACAACTGGCTGGTGAGGGTTCCATTATTTTCATGAATATACTGCGAATATGAGTGAAACAAGATTTCCCTTACTTTATTGATCCAAAACAATGTCATATGACGTAAAATTTGCTACAACATGATCATTAAACTGTTAGATATGCTATTTGATGAGACAAAAAGAGCAATGTGCAATGTTTATACTTTGTGGTGATGCGAAGGCTTCTTTACACTAAAAGGAGGGGAAAAAATTCACCACTCTTTTTACAGATAGTCAAAGTATTGGACTAAGCAACCTGCTTTTCTTTAAAATTTATAAAAAAAAAAAAAAAAACTAGATGCGATGACAAGACACTTTCCAAAAAAATTAGCTTATTCAAGAAAACCAAGCAAAAACTTACCTAGTGTAAAGTTTTACGAACTCTTCTCCCCAGCAATCTGACAATCCAGGACAGTCGTTCGGACACATGAGACTCCACACTCCATTCTGTTCAACTCTCTTCATGAATTCATCAGGAATCCAAAGGGCGTAAAAGAGATCACGTGCTCGCACTTCTTCTTTTCCTGTGTTTTTCTTCAAGTCTAAAAATTCAAAAATATCCGCATGCCAAGGTTCCAGATAAATTGCAAAAGCTCCAGGACGCTGCAATAGAACGAGAGGGTGCGCTTGTAGTTTACAGATGCTTATTCATGAATAACTTGCGCAGAGCAAAATAATTGACAAGAAGCATAACTAGTCATGTCTCTTCATCAAAACTTAATACGTATGAAACACTTGTTGAAATAAACTAATACATACTATTTTATTATTTACGGACAAAATCGTGCTAAATAGTTGGCGAATAGAGGAGAACAAAATGATACTTGCAAATAAGAGTAACAAGATAAGTTATCTGATCAGAATTTCATTAGAGACCTGTTGAGTACTAAAATATCAACTTGTGAGAAATTACCATTTATTGGTTCTTTCTAATATTAATCAATTCAAATTTTTCTCTTGCAAAAAAAAAATATTTATCTCATGAGGCATTGAAAACTAACTCATCCCTCAAAAAATGAGTAAAGTAAGGTTCCACAAAAATTTCTTCGCTGACATAGAAAACACTGATTTCTTACTTAAGAGAGCAGTTTCGAGACTCATATGTGCACAATGTGTTTCAAGAAAAGTTTGTACATAAAATTTGTAATGAGATGCTTGATTTTGGACTGTCTATTGGTCAATGGAGCATCTCAAAATTAAGTGAGTGAAGAGGGCTTCTTTCTCAAAAGCTTTGATGTGAGAGGCGAATAATCAGCAATTACCTTGTTACCGCCTTGATCAACATATCGGGCTGTGTTGTTGAAAACTCGAAGCATGGGTACTATTCCATTGGAAGTTCCATTTGTTCCTGCAATGTAACTGCCAGTGGCTCTGATGCAGTGAATATGGATTCCGATTCCTCCGGCAGACTTTGAAATAAGAGCACTTTGCTTCAGAGTGTCGTAGATCCCTTCGATACTGTCTCTCCTCATGGCGAGCAAAAAGCAGCTGTAAAATTGAACGGGGAACATAATGAAAGGTCACACTGTAATGGTCAGAGAAAATCAAGGATGCAGAAGCATTTTGATGAGTTTACTACAGATTAGAAACATTTTCCATTTTTTTTGGAAAAAGATTAGATGAGACAAAAACAGTAAGCTGAATTTAAAAAGAAAGATTTCTGAGAGAAGCTACAAACGTTCTTTCTAAAAGTAAAGATAACTTTAGATAGATTGGTTTAGAAACGACATATCTCAGATTTTCAGAAATTTTTACATTTTTGTAGGCAAATAAGTTCTGAAGATAGGCCCATCCACAGGGATGAAGATTTTTGTTTTTAATGTAGGAGAAAGTAGTGGAAAATGTGGGGAAACAGCATGTGCTTTACAAAATGGAATTTCAGGGCCTTGATGATATTTCCACTGGATTCCACAGGATCAATTTAATTTTAGAGGATCTGGTAAAATTTTTTAAAGTTTTTAATCTTTTTCCCAGATGGGGCCAAGATATAAACTAAAACATTCAGTTTTCCACATTTTTTTATATAATATGCGGTTTCTGACAGCATTCGTTGAAGAGCGACCAAATTATTTTTTGTAACGTTGTTTCTCATTTGTTTGAAACGTGTAACACATTAATTCTGGACAGTGGCTGGTTGCTAGGCCCTAGGATAAGTGCTCCCAGGCTTATGACAGTTTTTTCTTCTACTTCCACTCTTCAGGCAGTTGTGCAGTTTACATAGTGAATTGTAAAATTTAAACATGCAGAGATTTATTGTTCCTAAATTGCCAGATTTACTTCCTTGGAAAAAATTTGGCAAGCGAAGAGAGGGCAAGGAGAAAAATAACTTTTGAACTGAACTATTTTGTGTATTTAATGAGCCACTGGGCTTGTGTAAGAAAAAAATTACCTTGATAGTTGAGGTCTTGGTGTAGCTGCTGAGAACAAAGTGGGTGAGGCATGTGTGAAATACTTTTCCGATAACAAGTTGTAAGTCTCGATAGCGTCTTCAATATTCTCACCATGAATTCCGACAGCTACGCGCATTAGCATGTGTTGCGGGCGCTCTACAATTTTCCCATTAATACGAAGCAAGTAAGAGCGCTCCAAGGTCTGCAAAAGAAACAAAAGAGAATCAACCACAAATCAAAGGATTTTTCCAAGCGCAACGATACAATATGCAGATAATTCTTGGTACGCAATGGCAAGATGCAAATTAGTCACTTTCCCATAGTTGTCCACTATTTCAATGAGTTTAAAAGAGAAATCCTCATTTAAGATGAAATCAAAAGGGAACTTACAACCCATTAATCTCTTCCAAAAAGTTTTAATGATGGATTTTCGAAATTACTGTCTTGAAGCCTTTGACTTAAAATGTTTTCATTGCAAAAAACATATTCTTGTCTACATGAAGGAGAAATTTGTTGGCACCAGATGATCGCAGAAATTGATAGGAGCAATCAGCCAAATGGAGACAACCTCTTCTCTCCTTCTGAAAGTAAAAGGTACTATGTAGCCGGTTCATCGAACAATCCCTCTTTTTTCATTGACTGGAAAAGAAAGATTTATACCCTTCCCTTTGGTGACTAAAAAATCTTTTGCTCAGTGGATCCTACTTAGCTGAAAGGCATTCTTGTGCTTCATGCAGGTTACTTACTTTGAAGCCAAAATAATTGTAGCTGAAATCTCTATCATAGATGATTGCAGAGTTGAGTCGATCTGCATTTTTCTTGACTATTTGGTAATGGAAATCTGAGATCATTGGTGTTGGTTTTTTGGTTACTTCACTTATCATGTTATACAAATCTTCAACCACATCTGAAATAATAAAAATAAACAAACTGGTGAGTTGAGGGACGGAAAATTAGGATTTACGTATTTAGTTACTACAATGTTGCAATACTTGGAAACATGAAAAAGATGGGGAAAACTATAGGATGATCAATAAAATCTGGCAAGTAAGACTGTGTGAATGAAACAGTGTAAGGCATCATTAGATCCTTAATTTTCAAAGGAAAAAGCAGAAAGGAACTTCAAAAAGTTTAGAGGACCTTAAGCTGTAAAATTAGCTCTTAAGAATGAATGACATGTTTTCATAAAAGCTTATAAAACATCCATACATACTGGGAATCTAAAATTTTGCATATTCGCATGTTTTCAGAAAAGCCAGTAAAACATTCATACCCATCAGGAATCTACAATTTTGCATATTCGTTCTCAAAGGTTTCTAACGCCAAAATAATCTTAGGACTGAGGAACATGGAAAATTCATTTTCAGCAAATAAGTACTTCCTTTTGTTTTTAAGGGAAAGTCATTGATTTTTTTTCAAAAACACGGAAAATTTTTAGAGAAAACTAACTCACTTGCATAAAATTTTAAAAGATGGGGTGCGTTTCAAGACCTTTGGTCCCATAATCAGTCACGCCCGAAACTTGTCAAAATTTTACGCAAGCGAGTCAGTTTTCTCCTAAAATTTTTTTGTTTTTAAAAAAGATTCGAGACTTGTGTAGCCCCCCCAATGGTGTTTGGAGCAAGTCATTGATTGCTTTCATGAAGACGATGTAAGGTTATAATTAAGCTCTCTTTTACTCCTTGGAAAACTTGGAGTCAGGATTTCTCCAGGGATGCAAAGTACTCTCAGTTCTTACCACTGAATGTTTTTTTGGTTTCTTTATGGAGATTGGAGACAGCGATTCGGGCAGCTAGGACAGCATAATCGGGATGGCGAGTTGTCATCGTGGCTGCTGTTTCCGCGGCCAGATTATCCAACTCCACAGTCGTAACGCCAGGGTAAAGTCCATTGATCACCTTCATTGTGATCTCAATCTAAAAAAACAGACACTCACTATCAGTATTGTATCAGATATCAAGTGAGAAAAACCAGTCATTCGTTTTAGTTTTGTCATTTGTTTTTAATGTATTAGAAATTACTTCAATTGAATCTGGGAAAGAACAAACTTTCCAGAGACAGGGTTTTAGGAAGAGAAAAATTGACTAAAATGTACAACAAAAAAAATTGAATAACGATGTCTTAGGGGAAGGAGGGAAAGTTACCGCCTGCCTCGGCCCATTTTGTCCAGTAACGAAATCAGAGGATAAAATTCAGGAAATGAGCATCATTCTCCGCTTTCCCAGATATTCTTCGAGAAGAGAATGGAGTTTCCCACAAACTCAGAGTAGAGCTAATGACTATCACTCATTAGCTAATTCTTTGACATCGAGTCATGAGTGGACCATCTTCGAAAAAGAAAAATGATATCTGTGTAAAAAATGAGAAAAATGTTGGTTTCTTACATTGATCTCTACTGAGCCCCCTTACGTCTAGGTTGTTCCAAGTACTGGGAACCATGAGTCAACTTATCACCAAACCTTTGAAACTAATTACTGTAGGGTCTTTGACTCCTTAAATTTTACTCTCGTTTCGAAATATTTTCGCAAGATCTACCGAGCCTATTTCCATTATTTTCCGGCCATCGGGAACTATTTATTTTTTATTTTATTTTTAAAAATTAGTACATTAGCCTGAACAAAAAGGCTCAATACAAGTCGAATCAGAAAAAGTTACTAAACAGATGAATATTACAAATTTAAAAATTCTAACAAGGTGTAGTATGCGTTTTGTAAGAAGTGTCCTATTAAGTAATATCTTAATGAACAAATTTGGCGACTCAGCTTTGACGAGGATCTCTTCAACTTTTTAGGTAATTTGTTGAGAATGACTACTTAAGTAACTACTTAATGATCACTGTATGAGCCATTGAGCCAGCTCTCTCAAATTTTCGAATTATCGTACGAATCGAATTTTCATTCAAAGGGCGGCCTTGGCAGGGGTACAAATAGTTCTTGGCCTCCGCAATTTTTCCGGGGTTGCTATACTTTCTTCATCATCAAATTCTCTGACTTTTCTCTGACTATTTTTGGTTTTTCCTAACTCCAAAAATATCTAATTCCCAGACTTTCCCAGATATTAGAATAAAACTTCCACTTTCATTTTCCCCCTTTAAATTACACTCACTTCTTCTAAACGCACCTCGCAAAATTCCCTGACTGTTCCTATGAATTCCCTAACTTTTCCTATGAATTCCCTGGCTTTTCCAGTGAATTCCCTGACTTTTCCCAGCTCTCCAGTTCGCCGGCAACCCTGTTTTCTTCGGTGCTGGAGTTTCGTTAAATGGTCAACACGACGCGCCTATCAAAATTTTGTTAATTTTCGAAAACTTTCAGGATATGCGTCGAAGTCGCATCATTCCACATGAGTTGAAAATCTGAAAACCGTCAAAAAGAAGAGGGGGAAAAATTCTCTCAGTCTTCACAATTTGGTTGCGACCGCGCGTTCGCGAACAATATGTATCATTGGGCCACGGTAGCTGCTGGAAATGAGTGCGAAAATTTCCGAGAAAGTTCCTAGACTACGCAAGTTGAGGAATTCTATTTTTGTACTATTGTCTCGGACTTGTCATTTTAGAATTACGTCACGCACTTTTTGTTGTTTTAAGATGCCTCTCCTCCCGTCCAAAGATAAAAGAAAGACAGAAACACGATAAATAGAAAAGAGATAAATTCGAATTCGAGAAATTCGGGACGGTTTGCTGAAAAAAAATAGCAATGGAAAAAAACGTTAGTACGAAGGTTAACATTTCCATGCAAAAAGACGTTAGTATGAAGGTTAACTGGACTGAATTTAATAGAAAGGATCCACGATACACCAATTTATAACAGAGCAAATGCGACGTAAATTCATTTTTTTGAAATTGAATTTTTTTTTTTTTGGGGGGGGGGGGGAGAACATCAACGGACGTCTAAGTTCAAAATTTTCAGAAACTTTCCCCGAAACCCAAGGAAAAATCACGCAAAATTTCGTCGAATAACGATGATTAATAAACTTATCCTTCAAAAATGTGAGGAGTGTCAGAGAATTTGCGACGTCGCAAATTTAGTGTCGCGGTTTGGTTGTTTTATCATCGATGTAAGCTTTTGTACGCTGGCGATAATTGGTCGTCCCTCAAAATATCCAAAATAATGCACAACTCCGCGAACCGATCTGCGTGTTCCTTTTAATTTCACCATCGATTTCAGTGACATTCGATTATCAGAAACGTCCAAACCGCTGAACGCCCCTCCCGTGCCCCCACCAATACAAAATATATACATGAAAAAAAAAAAAAAAAAAATGCATGAAGCGAAAATGACATAAGTTCACCTGATGGTTTCTGAAATACTATCATTAGGAAAAGGACGAAAAAAATCCCCCTTCGCTCCACTAGTTAGGCGGTGCATTCACTCATTTTCCATCATGGTAAGGGACCAGCAGCGCACAGTGGATACAGTCAATACGAGAGGTTGGACAAAATTTGGCAACTTTAAAACTATCATAACTCCGTTTATACAAAACTTTGAGGCTCAAAAGTGGTTCTTGGTTTCCTCGTAAAATTTCCCTCATGAAGCACCCCTTGAAATTTAAAATGTGACGAAATAAACATCAAAATTCGCGGTTTTAGTCAAAAATTTCATGTCCGACCACTCTACTTGACTCGATCCACAGTGCGGCGAGGCGTGAATGATCAATTATTATCGATGTTTCCCTTTGAAGCTGTGATGAAGGATCGATTATTTATCGATCCTTTTCCATAGCTTTAAATGGCGGAACAATCGATATATCGACTATCGCAAAGAAGGGACTTACCGGATCGACGAATTCTGAGTTGAGACCATAGCATAGTTTCGAAATCCGAGACGTGATTTTATCGAAGTGCACATCCTCGATGCGGCCTCCTGGAACAGAAATCGGGAACTAATTGTAGGTGGAAAAAAACGTCCTTGAATTCCTTCCCCCCTTGAAATTTGCAAAAAAAACTACGCGAGTGGATTCATTTGAATAGTTTCTCCGACTATGACGATAGTCTGCCCGAGCCCATTTTTTACGCAGAAGACTGAGACTTAAATGAACATGGAAAAACAAAAAAATACAAGTATATTGACGTAGTAGGCAAAAACTGCGCAGTCAATGCTCCCGTAAAACACGACCGCAAAAAAAAAGTAATTTTCACACATAGCATGCGGTTGAAAATCCTGAGTTAAAAATTTACCTCGCACTTGTTCCAAATTCGTAAATCTCTGACCTCCACAGCAATGCCCAACAAAACATAGACATTTTTTCTTTCTCTTTTAATCATCTTATTCTTTTTCTGGCAAACTTTTCTGTTTCACAGAATTTTCAGGGACTGAGCACTTAACCAAGTGCCTGACTCATGATAATTTTGTTTTAAAATTTCAAGGTTGAATTCGTACTATTCATGGTCCCTTCATGTCCTCCTGATTCGGTCAAAAACGTTTCGGAAAAATTCAGGAGTACACTCTGTTATACGGCATTTTTCTGTCTTGAACACATCACAGTGCACCGTTTTTCATGGTATCAGCTGCGAAAAATTGAGCGGGCCAATGGCATGGAGAATCCGATCGAAAGGTCGCGCTAACATGTATACATTTCACGTGAATTTTGGGGTATCGCAAATTCTAGTTCGGATAAATTGGCATGCATGAAATTTTGCTGAGAAAGAAATGGAGCCCTACACGGGAAAAGAAACCCTGGTGAAGAAATAACCTTTAGACTGGTTCATTGATTCCGAACATAGGAGAGCGTTCTACGAACATTTTACGACAAAATCGCTCAACAATGTCAAAATGACTTATGGCGGTTTAAAGCTTACAGTTCGAAAAAATTAGTCGAAAAATTTTTCGAAAAAAATAGTTAAATCGAGAAAAAGCTACATGACATACAAAATTCGCTATGTTCTGGGCACGAGACTACCGGAAAGTAATAGAACTTTACGGCCTCCGTAGGTACAAAAATGAACTAAACTGCTTGTTCTTTCTTGCATGGTTTGTGAAAATCTCAAAATCTGAAATCTAATTCGACTAACAATAAGTTACCCTGGTCAAATTATGTCTCCGTGGAATGATTCATTTTGGTAACAAATGTTTTTGGGATACTTAAAACCGCAAGGATTTGGAGTTACATTGCCGAAAGGGTTTCGATTGCTGTGTTCCAAAAGATCCAATTGCTTAACCATCTACTAACCGAGTGAATACTTAATGCTTACTTGGGGGTAAAAAATTAGGAATAAAAAAGGGGCTCGGCTGTTGCGTCAATCCTTATCGATCAATCATGGTTATTAATACTATAAAAAGACCAAATGCATATGAAATCAACAATATTATTATATCGTAGATGCGGTATAATGGTAAAGAGACTAAGAAGTCCTGCTCAAGAATACCTTGGTGGTAGTTTGGGTCCATGCCAAATAAGTTAACGCACTTTCAGACTCCGACAGATGATCCGCCATCTTCATTATTGCATTTACTTATCATGCGAAAATGATTTCAGACGATCCTCTGTCCTCTGTCGCAGTCTAAAAAAGTGTGGACTTAGTTGGCGCGATTCAACAAGTATTTTTAGAGGCGTTTCTTGATACTGCATGGATTCCCGGAAATTTTCAAAGATTTCATGAAGTTCACGGGGAAAAAAGAATAAAATTTTCCATCTTCTCTACTGCTTCGACCCTGCCTCGCTTTCTGACGGCACTCACACACTCACGAGGCAAAAAATGCTCGACCGATGTGTGAATCCAAAAAAAACACCGCCTAAAAAAGCAAGTACACTTAAGGCTGAGAGTGAGTTTATAGTCACGGTTTTATGGGGGGATTTAAGTTGCTCAACTGTCAGTCACAGTCATACGCTCCGAAATCCTTTAACTGGGCGAGAAAAAAAAAAAAAACTACAATTTCTAGCTCATCCATAAAAACACCTATCTGCGACGGCAAACGGATGGAACAAACGCTGTTTCTGAAAAGAGCCAGAAATAGTGGTTCCTTATTGCAAAATGTGGTCTAATTTTTCGAGCGGCACTTGGATTACATTTTGCAATAAGGAACCACTATCTCTGGCTCTTCCATTAAATCACGTATCTACATAGGGAAACCAGTGGCATATATGTTGTTTCTAATATGAGCCAGAAATAGTGGTTCCTTACTGCAAAATGTAATCCAATCTACCGGACTGGGGATTTATACTGACTTGCTAGGGAAAAACGTCGTATGGACATTCGCGAGTTGCCAAATTTCCTCCGATAAAACATTTATTTTTGAGGAGAGTTATGAATATTTTTTCTTAAAATTTTTAGAGAATTTACATCTGATAACGAATAAATTTCTATGAAAAATTCAAAGAAAAAAAATTCACAGATTTTGCTGAAAATGCATGTTTCATCGAAGGAAATTTGGGAACGTTGGACAACTCATACGGCGTCCTTCCTAAGCACGGCAGTATAAGTGGGAACTTTCAAGGAATCCCGGCCTAAGTTCACGCCCCGGGAAACTTTTACAAAAAAACACACGTACATGCACGGATACTAGTGACGTGGCTACGGTGGGGAGAGACCAACAGGGTCTGAACAATGGCCGGAAAATTTTCCTAACAACGTCATACGGTGATTTTTAAGAATTTTTGACCTTTGGCCTCTCCCCAGAGAATTTCTGGATATGCCACTGACGTAAAGGCGGTTATCAATGGCACTTTCAACAGCCACCGAGAAAATTTCCATTCCCAGATTTTTTCCGGGAAACTTTGATCCTTACGCACGCAAGTCACTGTCTCAGTCACGCGCACTTTCAAAACTGCAGCTTGGTGGTAAACATTTTTCTTCCGATTCGGCTATCAAGTGAAGGATTATGTTCTGAGAGGATGACCCTTATTGGGCCTTGTCTCCACGGGACGTTTGATGGGATTTGTCCTGGGTTCGAATCGCAGGGATGAAACTTCTGGGCTCTCCTCACGAAAAGAAAACAGCAAAATTTCTCAGCCTTCTCCCCGAGTCGCTTTTAGGGCCCATCAAGAATTTTGCTTGGTACTGTGATCAGTATTGGCTACCTCAATATTTTTCCGAACTGTAGATTTTCCCTTCGAGATTTTTCACTGGGACAAATCCCTTAGAAAAGGCCAAGGCGAGACCAAAAATAATACTCACTGTCCTGAGGAGTAATGATCCCCTTGAAATGGCCCAAACAAATAAATACCAAAAATAATTTCTTCGGAAAATACAATAAAATGTCAGCCATGGATTTTTATGAATAGATCTTCCCATGCGGGCGAGTATATCATTTGAGGAAAGTTGCACCCCATGCAGAAAAAATCCATGCGTATAGATCCATGGCTGATACCTCAAAAGAAACTGCATTTCTTATAAATGACAGCCAAAATCAAACTTTTGATAGAAAAAAAAAACAGTCTTTGTTTGGTTCAGCGAATCGTTCCCTAGATTTTCGCCATTTGATTTTGGGCACGCGTGTAATTAATTTTTGGATTGAAAATTGTCTACTCGCGATTCGTGTGATTTTTTCCACGCCCATTTCGTGTCGCATCATTCCCGCACTATTTTGCGTGCCACGGTTTGCATGACACGCGTTATTTTAAACTCGACATTTAGAAAAGTACGATAATTCCAGCTACTACGCTCTCAGCTGTCGAGATAGCTCTGCATTTAGTGTTCCAACTTGGGCCGTGCTTGCGAAGTGACGTCATTTTCCCGCCATTACGGCAGTACTAGCGCGGAAACCTCGGAAAAAATAGGCGCGCTTGCATCATTAGTGTGAGAGCTTTTACCTCCACGTAAATTTTAGCTGGAGCACTGAGCTTCCGCCCTGAAGGAAAACTTCGTAAATGCACTCAAATGTTGCCTTTCCTCCGATAAAATATAAAACATGATAATTTCAATGGAGATATGAATAACGCTACGGCAGGTTTCAGGGAAAAATTCCTTCGTATTGTTTTCCTATCGTTGCAAAAGGAGACGAACCAAATAGTTGGGTAGTAGTAGTAAAATAATTTTATTTTAAAGCGGTGCTTTAGCATCTAAGGCCATTTACACCTCTAAAGAAGGCAGTAACAGTAATAAATTTACATGGGATGATACATAGGAAAACACGTCCTCCTTCATTTTATGCATAAGCATTTCATCTTCTGGGACGTCAAGAAAACTGTAATACGTGTTACACCCCATTCAATTTTTCTTCTCTGCTTTAATGTCTCTGAATCAGCCGAAAAGAATTCACGTTCTCCTTTATTTTGTGGACATGCAATTTTATCTTCTTGGAAGTCGGAATAATTGTATCACGTCTTCTGCCCATCCAACTTTTCTACTCTGCTTTAATGTCTCTGAATCAGCCGAAAAGAATTCACGTTCTCCTTTATTTTGTGGACATGCAATTTTATCTTCTTGGAAGTCGGAATAATTGTATCACGTCTTCTGTCTCTTTCAACTTGCCTACTCAGCGTTAAGTCAGCGGAAAAGAGACCAGGATCTTTTTTACTGTTGTGATCATGCGAGAAAGTTTTGTAGTTTCATAACTGTAACCGGGTCTTCGAAACAGGACCTCATTCTTCTGGAAGAACATTTCCGAAACTTGGAACTTAGGACGAAAAATGATCGCGGGGAGCGCCTGCAAGACTGTAGGTATACTTCAAGCATCGCGCTGTCTCCCACTTGGATAAGCGTATCGACGGTGAAACTACCATACCACGTATCTCGTTTGCGGTGTTTGGAAATCTCCTCTCCCATTTTATTTTCGTGAAAGAGAACGAATCAGTATTATTCCTAGGTTTCGCAGATTTTTCTTCACACAGAAAAGAAGAATCAATTTAAGAAATGACGTTGAGTAGTTTTCCATGTAAAAAATATAGTATATGACAGGAAGTCTGCGACGTCGTAAACCGAAATACGTGGTCTGGAAGTTTCACCGTCAATATGGCAGCGAGCGTGCGAAATTGCGCCAAAATAGAGCATATTTTGATCAAAACGTAACAAATTTTACATCTTCAAGGTAATAGACCACCTAATTTTCCAATTGCTTTCGCAATTCGCGAACGACCGGTTGGTCGTTAGTTCGTGAAAATTCTGCGCCCCTGATTGCCATAAAACTTGATTTTTCATTCTGAGTTCCTAGTCGACTCGAAAAAATGATGGAAGGAAATTTTGTTTCGTTTCTTTGTTAGGAGATAGAGCGTATTTACTTGGACCGGCAGAATTTAACACGAAATTCCGTGATCATGATTGGCTGAAATGGGAAGCGAGGAATAGGAGGGAAATTGGGAAAGGGAGGCTGTCTTTAAAAGACACGGAAGACATTGATGCTTAAGCCCCTTACGGCATTGATCCTTTGTCCGTCGAGTATGGAAATTTTTGTCTCAGGATTACAGGCGCACCTGTCCTGTTACCAACCAACTCATATTATCGTCATTAAGTATTGTTCACCATCATCGCATTGCATGGTCTGCACATCGTGGCCACACGGTTATTCTTCAAAAACTTTATTTGAGCAAAACAGCATTACTGTTACGAGAGCGCCGTGAGAGCTCTCAGATGCCCCCCCCCCCAATAAAATATACATTCAAGCAAAAATGTATGCATATTTTTCCTTGAGATTTTCAGAAACGTTGGATTGAGTAACGAGTAAAATTACCTATCTTAAAAATTTCAAGCAAAAAATCGCACGTTCCACGAAAAATAAAATATTTTATCTGAGAAATTTTGCAACATCCGAATTTTTGTAAGGAAAATTTATTTATGGCAAATAGGGCTTTTAATTAGAGTCAAAGACTCTTCGACATTCACACATGGTCGATCAAATATTGCAGTCAATGCGACATGAAAAAATTGACCGAGTAACCGAGAGCATTCCTTGGAGGAAAGTTTTTTTCAAATTGAAGGAACAAAATAGATTTTATCCACCAGGAACAGATTT